TTCCTTCCTTCCTTCCTTCCTTCCTTCCTTCCTTCCTTCCTTCCTTCTTTTCTAACTTTATCCCCAAAGTGGAGCTCAAACTCATAATCCCAAGATTAACAGTCACATGTTCTGTTGACTGGGCCAGCCAGGCGCCCTTTTCTTCTTTCTTGAAAATATAATTGATTTTATTAATTGATTCATGCATCAGAAAGCATCCCATCTAGCAAGTAGACGGGAGCTGCCTCCCAAACAGTTAATTTTTATTTTAAAACTTTCCTGTGTCTATTAAACATTTTGTAGGAGACTTACCTGGTAAAAGAAGGAGTGGATTCTTTAAGTCTTAAAATATTTCAGGTTTAAGTTTTCACCCCCATAGATTATTAGGCTTTTCCTAATAAGTCCAGGGAAAAGAACAGGTGGCGCTTTACGAATAAAGCTACTGAGCGCTTTCTTTCTAATGTTAAACAGCAATACATTTTGAATATTTAATTATGCTATCCCAGAAAGAAAACAATCTTACAAAGAAAAATCAACTTAAACTCTGATACGCAAAGAGTAAAAAAATGTGTGTGTGTGTGTGTGTATACACACACACACACACAGAGAAATAAAAATTAAAATGGTATAAGATGATTTAAAAAAAACTTTTAAGTCTATTTATTTATTTTTGAGAGACACAGAGAGCATGAGCCAGGGAGGGGCAGAGAGAGAGGAAGAGAGAGAATCCCAAGCAGGCTCAGCACTGTCAGTGTGGAGACCATAGTGGGGCTCGAAATCGTGAAACCACGAGATCGTAATCCGAGCTAACACAGAGAATTGGATGCTTAACCGAATGAGCCTCCCAGGTGCACCAGTAAAAACTTTTATTTTTGAGACAGAGAGAGACAGAGCATGAACGGGGGAGGGTCACAGAGAGAGGGAGACACAGAATCTGAAGCAGGCTCCAGGCTCTGAGCTGTCAGCACAGAGCCTGACGCAGGGCTCAAACTCATGGACCGTGAGATCATGACCTGAGCCGAAGTCAGATGCTTAACCTACTGAGCCACCCAGGCGCCCCAGTAAAAACTGGTTTTAACCTAATTATTGCCTTCATTCAAAATATGACATATAATTTTGGTCTATGTCTTTTATATCCAACAGCCTTTCTGATACAATGGCCCTAAACTGAGTATCTATCTTTCCCATGTTAAATGGAAGAAAATGGATAAATATATTGAATGCAACCTGTTTTATGTACTTCTAAGTTGGGGAGGGAGGGGCCTACATAACTATCATATTTATTAATTTCCCACCTGATTGAATTTTCTATCAAGGAAGGCCTATTATTTAGGGGTTTTACACAAACTTGTATGTAATTTAGTTTTCTAAAAGTTATATAATTAATTCAAAATATCAGAAGTGTTTCTTCAAGAAACTCAAGTCAAGAGACTTAAATCAGTTTCTTTTTAAATATTATTTTATTAAAAAATTTAATTCCAGTACAGTTAACATACAGTGTTCTATTAGTTTCAGGTGTACAATATAGTGATTCAACACTTCCATACATCACCTGGTGCTAATCAGAACCCGTGCATCCTTATTCCCATCTCCTCTTTCACCCATCCCCACCCCACCCCCCCACTTCCTCTCTGGTAACCATCAGTTTGATCTCTATAATTAAGAGTCTGTTTCTGGGATTGTTTTTTTTTCCCTTTGCTCATTTTCTTTTTTGTTTCTTAAATTCCATGTATGAATGAAATCATATGGTATCTGTCTTTCTCTGACTTATTTAGCTTAGCATTATATTCTCTAGCTCCATCTATGTAATTGCAAATGGCAAGATTTTATTCTTTTTTATGGCTGAGTAATATTCCAGTGTGTGTGTGTGTGTGTGTGTGTGTGTGTATTTATTTGAATCAATGTGTAAGAAAAGACTGTCTGTATTAGTGCTGCCTAATAAAAATATATCACAAACCACATATGTATTTTTTTAGTAGTTAATTTAAAAAGTAAAAATTTTAGGAGTACCTGGGTGGCTTAGTTGGTTAATCGTCTGACTTTGGCTCAGGTCATGATCTCACAGTTCATGAATTCGAGCCTCACGTTGGGCTCTGTGCTGACAGCTCAGAGCCTGGAGCCTGCTTCAGCTTCTGTGTCTCCCTCTCTCTCTGCCCCTCCCCGACTCTGTCTCTCTCAAAAATAAATATTAAAAAAATATGTACTTTTAAATAAAAAGTAAAAAATTTTAAAATATATTTTACTGTACCATAAATGTAAAAAAGTATTATTTCAACATGTCATTAGTATGAAATTATTAGTGAGATATTTTATATGTTTTGTACTAGGTCTATAAACTTTGGTTTGTATTTTACACTTACAGCATATCTCAATTCAGATGCTTAAGTTTCATCAGAAATAGCCATCTATATTTAGACTTCATAAAATGTACAGATGAAAAAGTAGATGCACATTCCAAGTTGTTCCAAAAACATTTAAGTTTTCCAAGAATAGAATCAAGTATCAGTTTTTTATATATTACTTAAAATTAAATAGTATCAAAAATTTAGCTGTTCACTTTGAAGTGCTCGATAGCCACATGTGGCTAATCACTTCCATACTGGATAATGAAGCCCTATAAAACAAGAAGCTTAGATAATCGCTAAATAAATGAACAAGTCTAAGCCTTGGTTTCCCAACTCTGAATCTTTTCCACATTTAACAAATCACTCTTTGCAACTCCTTAAGAAAGTACAACTTGCTTTATAAACTAATGGAAACAGTGATAATAAATAGGCTGTTGCACAAGCCGCAACATGAAGTTAAGAATTTAATGTCCCACCACTCCTTGGCAGTCTTTGAGTAGCAGATAAATCTCTTTTAGGCATTACAATACTTTTTTCCTTTTTCTTCAATATTTACCTTCTGCACAAGTAAGCAAACAAAACCAAAACAACTCAAACAATGATAACTAATATATCAAAGCATTGCATACTTTTTAAAGGCTTACTAGGTGTTATAAAATTTATCTAGATAGAGAAATGACTGAGAAGTGGAGACCATCTTGTAATTCTGAACTCCAGACACATTTAAACAATGTATGTAGTAATGATGTAAACATAAATCTTGCTAGAGTCCTAATGATAATATTTTTATTAATTTATAGATTTACTTATAACCTTATACACTTAACCCATTCTAGTCAAATAAAATAACTTTTGGAAATGTTTTCATGATTTAGGTACTAAACCAGCTAGAATATCAGAGTTCCTCACCTTTAATCCCAAAGTCTTAACTTTTCTTGCTGAAGCAGGCAAGGTAATATCTTTGTCAATATTAAGATTTTGTTGAGATTCTAAAATAAAATAAATTGTACAGATTTTAGCTGGCACTTACATGTTTGAAACACAGACAAAACCCAATTTCCAAATTTCTTATTATAATTAGTGAAGTAGTATTAAAGTTATTTTTTTCTGTCTGTATATGTCCAAATAATTAGTTGTACAATAGTGTTTACACATCTAATACTTTTCTGATTTTCCTAATATTCCCTGATGGAAAGTTAAGGTGATTACCAAAAGGGAAACTATGTATCTATGTGAGTGTCTTGCTTAACTTTCCTGGTTACACAACAGTGAAATGATTAAAGCATTAGTCTGCAGTTGACTCTTTTGTAAATTCATCAAATAAGAAAATTTAAATATAACTGTAGCTTTGCATTTTTAGAAATACTATAGCATCTTTTAATTTAAATACTGTTACTCATAATTTTACAGCTTATGAGATCATATAACCATTATGTTATTTGGGAATCTGTTACCTTTCTGTTTTTTAAATCTTTGTGATTTCTGAAAAGATACCGGTCCTTTCAATACTTCTGAAGTTGTAACATCATAAGCACCTGGAGATGGTGCACAACCTACAGGAAACATAAAACATTAATTAATGTCTCATCTTATGCTACTTATGATCTTAAGTTAAAAATATGTTATAGTATAATGAGTAATATAAATTTAAAATGCCATTAATAAATTGTTTGTTTTTTCAGGAGTTCCTGGGTGGCTCAGTTGATTGAGCGTCTGACTTGAGCTCAGGTCACATAAAGCCCTGCATCAGACTTGTTGCTGTAAGCACAGTGTCCACCTCAGATCCTCTCTTCCCCTCTCTCTGTGCCCTCCCCCATTCATGTGCTTTCAAAAATTAAAAAACAAAAACAAAAACAATAAAACCTAAACTTTTTTTTTTTTTTCATTTATCAAGTCAAAATTTATTAGAAATGTTTGCTTGTCTCGGGGAACACTCACAGAACAAGTTATTCACAATCCAAGGTTAATAAAACCTAAACTTTAAAATAGTTTGTTTTTTCAAATGTAAAAATTTGATATTACAAAACAGGCCTCTTTATGAAGAAAACATCATTATCTTCCCAAATGATCTTTATTTCAATGAGTCAAAGGAACACAGGCAACTGAGCAAAACAGCAAAGACAGTCTTGAAATAAACATCAGGAAAGAACAAGCAACACGGCTTTGTTATTAAGGATTGAATGTAAGAAAAAAAGATTTGGAATCAACCCTACCCAAAAAGAGTCACAGGTAATTACCATCAGATTCTAGAAATGAATAATGATCATTTTATATGTACTCACACAAAGATTCCAATACTGGGAGCTTTTAGATCTAAATGTGGTCAATAAGGGGTTGAGGTAGTAGATTTCCAATCAGGAAAGAGTCTCAAAATGAAGTACAGAATTCAATGGGGCGTCTAAGGTAAAGGCAGACTTAGAAACATTAGTCTTGGCTAGCTCAGATCTCTCACACTCCATCAACTGTTTACACCCTGGGGTAAACAGGAGGCTGACAGCGGTTTCCCTAAAATCAGTTTAAGGGTCGCACATCTTAAAGCACCTACGTCACCCATTTGGAATAGGGATCAGCAGAAGCAGCGCAGAACATATCATATTTTAAAGTAACAAGAGACTTCAAAGAAAACTGCCGGCACTGTTGCCCTTTTTGGGGAGGTGGGGATGAGTGTATGCAGAACGTGTGGCTATTCTTTGCTCCCCGCTTTTGTTTTTTATCTACAAATGTTTGTTTATTTCCTTATTTATTTAGAGTATGAACAAGTGGGGCAGGGACAGAGAGAGAGGGAGAATCCCAAGCAGCTCTACGTTGTCAGCACTGAACCTGATGTGGGGCTCAAACTCACCAACTGTGAGATCATGACCCAAGCTGAAACCAGGAGTTTGACGCTTAACCGACTAAGCCACCCAGATGCCCCATAAAAAAGTTTTTTTTTTAAGCTGTAGGCCCAAGCTGGGGCTTGAACTTACAACCCTGAGATCAAGAGTCACATGCTCTACCAAGTGAGCCAGCAAGATGCCCTGCTCTCTGCTTTTAGGAATGTTTCTGTGGCAAAGTGTGAGAAGCACTGGTCTAGACTTGTCAGAGCAGCCAGAAGATAAAATGCTGTTGAATTCTTGTATTCCGGTTCATCATTAGGTCTACACTCTCAAAAGGGGATATGGGCCAGCGAAAGATCAGATGGCGTACAGTGACTAAGCAGCATCACGCGAGTTGAGAACAATTAAAATCGCACTTAACAAAAACTTCCCTAAAGAGCAAAAATCCCATTTGATACTTATGGGGATTTAGATTCAAGAACTAGGTTGAAATCCAGGCTTTGTGAGACTGTAGTATGTGCTATTTTCATGCTCTGGGTCTTTTCCTTACTAACGCTTAAATGTACGACATCACAGATACATATGACTTGCTAGAAATGTGGGGAGAGGGGACATTAGACAAATGGGATGGGATATCCTGGGAGATAACACAAGCTTTCTGGCACAACTTCTATTCTGATCAACAATAATCGGAAGCTAACACAGGCAGTCAATACTTGTAAACAAACCAAACATTTTATGTATTACATTAAATAAATGCTTCAAACTTCCAGATCTCTTTATTTTCTATTTCTTCCACCTCGAATGGACAGCCCACCTTCCAGTTTGCCTGGCTAACTCTCAGTTACCTTTCAGATCTCAGCCTCTTCCAGTTTTCTCTGAATCCCCAAATCAGGTTGGAAACCTCCCTCCATAGCAGCCTGTGAATAGTGTTCTTATCAAAGAACTTGACACTTTTGTAATGGCTTTTAATACACTTATCCATCTCCCAAATCAGATAATGTACTTATTCATCTTGCAAGTTAGATAAAATTGGTTGAAGTTAGAAACTCTCTTGATCATGCCTGTATCCCCAGTATTTGGCTCAGGGTTGAGTTTGGCAGTATGGTGAAGAAAACATAGAAAGTCACTGGGGATGTCAGAATGGGAATAGAGTTTTGTAATTCCTCCAATCAGGCTTCAAATCCAGCCTTGTATGCCAATCAATGGACATTACTATGTGCCAAGTACTTTCAGTCATAGGGGAAAGATGTGAACATTATACTCTCTGATTTTCTAATCTAGCTTTAAGACCCCTGGAAAGTTATTTTTATTCAAGGCTGAATTCCCCAGTTGTGAAACAGGAATAAAAGAGTATCTACCTCATAGTTGTTGGGGTTACTGGAGTAATAAGAGAAATCACTACAGTGCTCACATATGCAAAAGCATCAAATAAATAACTATTATTACTCCTGAAACTGTGAATGTGAAATATTGTAACACTGGTAAAGGCAATTTAATCTATTATAAAGAAAATAAAATTCTCCTTAAAAGACACACTGCTGAGAGAATTTACAGAAGGTTCTTTGAATATCCAGGAAATATACATTCCCTGAATCTCTTAATTTAGAAAATATGCTTGTGCTGATCCATTTGTCACTTGGCTTTTGTTTGTGAACAAAGTGATTCTTATTTCCACTTGCATGTTGGCTGGCAAGTTAAAGATGTAACAAATGATCATTAAAAAGTGTATATTATTGGAGAGCTGGGTGGCTCAGATCATGATCTTACAGCTCCGGAGTTCAAGCTCCGCATCAGACTCTGAGCTGACAGCACACAGCCTGCTTCAGATCCTGTCTCTCTCTCTCTGCCCTCCCTTGTCTGTGTGTTTCTCTCAAAAATAAACTAAAAAAACATTAAAAATATGTATTATAATGGGTAACGGATAAATCAGGGGCTTTGATGTTCAGCCCTCCCCCTCACTTGCTGCTCAGTACAGTTACAAAACTCCTCCATTTCTTCAAGTGTACAATGAGGACAATATCAGTACCTTTCTCACCTGGCTGTTGGAAAGAGTAAACCAGACCGAACAGGGAAGACCTTAGCACAGTCCCTGCATACAGTTTGTGTCTACTGAATGAGTGCCTCACCAACCACATCTGAGTCTTACGGTTATTGTGCTTATGCCCTACAGCGGTTAAGAGCACAGGATGGATTCACGGAGGCTGGGTTTCATGTCCTAGTTCTGCTAGTTTGGTTGTGTAACGCTGAGCAAATCTAAGTGTCAGTATTTTTGTCAATAAAATATTGAATAACAGGATGACCTCTCAGGAATGTTGGACAATTAAAGAAGAATTAACTGTAAATACTTAGCATGGTACTGTTGATATTACCTGTTACTACTTCATTAATAATGTTCTCAGTAAGCGCAGCTACCATAATTTTACCCAAAAACTGCCGTTCCCAATCAGCATTCTTGTATTCCTGAGCGGAATATCTACAAGAAATCCACAAGTTCATACGAAAAAGCAGTGGTCAATTTTTTTTTTTTTTTAAATAAGTGAGGCCTTCTGGGCTTGACCACCAAATACCTACCAAATAGCTTCCTTATCCCCATCTCATCTCCTTCCCTCTGCTTTAGTTTCTCCACAGACTAATTGTTTATTAGCTCTACTGTCCATTTGAATGCAAGCTACTTGGGCAGGGACTTTGCTTCATTCGCTGCTGTATCCTTCTCACTCTGAATAGTGCTAGGCATGTAGTAAATGCTTCGTATAGATCCCAGAAAAACTAGTCAGTTGAAGGAGACCCATCCTAGCCCTAAAATCGCCTATTTGCCTCTGATGAAGGGAACAGAGAGGGGCAAGGTGCGTGACACCATATCCCATCCCCCAGCTCCTTTCCCTGTACGCACCAGAAGGGTCATTGAATCGTTTCAGGGGCGCCTTAGGAAAGGACATGTTGACGACCAGCTCCACAAACCGAAGGTCACTAGCGGTCCTCGGCAACTTCCCGCTGCCTTACAGCCTACTCGCTCCAAATTCAAATCTCCCCGCTTATTCCCCGCCCACCTTCACGTCAGCAGGTTCGAAAAGCAAAACCCTGGACACACCAATCCAGGACGGGAACAGCTAAAGAGCATGCGCACCTGGCCTCGCAGCGTGTAATTAGCGGTTCCGTGAGTTCCGGTTACTAGCCAATAGGAGACTATTACTGCCTCCTCCCTTCCCCACCCCAAGCAGTGTCCAATCATTCTTGGCGTTACTCAATTGTAACTTACAGAAGAGCAGCATTTGCGCAAGCGCATTTCATAGCTGAAAAGGTCGGAAGTCCGCCTTTGGCGTCATATAGGTGGCAGTGCAGTGAGTTCTAGTTTCACTGGTTCCAACCTCCTCTCGCCGTTCCTTGGGTGTAAACCCCCCGGGTTTCAGTTCTTTCAAACCGGCTACTGAAAGGGTCCTAAATGGCCATTGAAAAGGAAAAAGGAATACGCAGAGGCGTCGCTTACGTCCCTGCGCATGTGCAGTGACCTGAGCTGACTGTCCAGGGCGTGGCCTAAGCGTGGACGCTCCGCGCGTGCGCTCACCTCGCTTCTTGTGGCTGCAGCTGGGAGGCTACTGGAGTATGTCGGCTCCGTTTGAGGAACGCAGTGGGGTGGTTCCTTGCGGGACGCCGTGGGGTCAGTGGTACCAGACCTTGGAGGAGGTGTTCATTGAAGTTCAGGTGCCGCCAGGCACTCGCGCCCAGGATATCCAGTGCGGCCTGCAGAGCCGGCATGTGGCGCTGGCCGTGGGTGGTCGCGAGATCCTTAAGGTAGCGGCAAGTCGGGGCTTGTGCCCAGTTTCTTCCTGGCCTCTAAGTCCCCGAGTCCTAAGGTTCAGGGTTTCCGTGGAAAGACTTGGAAGGCCGAATGGCTCCTTGCCCGAAAGAGCTATAGCATTGGCCTAGTTTTGTTTTGGTCGGAGCCCCCACTCAAGGCTGGTCCTGAGTTGAGTGGAGATTTGAGGAGCCCAATTTTCTGGCTTTCTCAACCAAATGAAACTGCTTCTTTTGTTCCTCTGAGGGTCTTCACCTGGATCTTTAAAGGAACAAATGTTTATCGTACATATATTTTCTTCCAGGCACTGATTTAGGTGCTAAGAGGTCAGAAGTGAGTAAGACATACGTTTCTTGCACACAGATTATGTTCTTGTAGGGAGGCATAATAAAACTAAGCTAATAAATGTTTAGGAAGTCACGGAAAAGTAAAGAAGAAAATAAGGGATAAGGATAAAGGGATGAGGATTCAGAGACGATATCAGGTGATTTATTTTTTCATCAAAATGAGACAAAAATCTGCATGTTTGTGGAGTGGTTAAGCAGATAGTCTAGGGTTGTTTGGAGAGAATAATACTTCTTTTATTCTCATCATGCCCCTTAGATCTGAGAACTGCGTTTTCCTGGATAAGCTTTATAGTTAAATTCAATTACGTCGAAGTTGGACTTCTTTCCCAGATTACATACTCACGATGTTTGACGATAGTGTAGCGAAGGGAGATTCCTTGATGTAGGATACCTGGCTCTGCCATTTCTCTAATTTTGTAACCTTGGGCAAGAGATTATTCTGTGTCCCTATGCCTTCATCCACAAAGTGTGATAATTATAGTACCTTTCTGATAGGATTGTTTTGAGCATTAGGTGGTATCCATGGGAATTAAGAGTTTGGGCAAGTGCCTGGTATGTAATGAGTTTACATGCTAGCTGTTACTGTTATTTTTAATATGGAAGTGCTTTAAGTGCCTCAGAGAAAAGGAGGGAGTCCTGTGGAAGACATTGATTTATGTCAGCTTGGATTTTAATGACCTTTCTGAATAGTTGTGCAGTTCGTGGTTTCCTGAACAGTGGTTTAAGATTACCATTCAAATTTCCCTTAGTAATTTCAGAACTTTAGCAGTGACTTTAACAGTAACTTTATTTACAATTTAGCAGTAACTTCAACTTCAGGATTTTAGATACATGTTTAGACTAGTAAGATTTTTTTCTCACTGGTGTTGAAATACGAAAAAATGTGTTTGCTTTATGTGGCATTTTAATTTTATTTCCTAAAACTTAAATTTGGCAAGTAGCAACAAATCAAAATGGATTTGAGCAGATGCATTCTCTTTTAAACTTATGTTCTGTTGATTTCTTTCTTAAAACAACAGTTTCATCACAGCTTATCTGAAATCAGAACTACAGTATGTGCTTTAAAAATTTTTAGTGCTACATTGCCCAACAAAGAGATTGAACCAGATTTTTGAAGTTTATTTTAAAAGACATCATTTCTTAGTTTCAGCAGGGAAGCTCTTGTAGTTCATTTTAATTGGTAAAGTCAAAGCATTTCAGATATTAATTTCACATTTGGCTGCTAAGTGATCAGTGATATTTATTCATCTCCTGAAAATTAAGGAGTTCTGACCTTTCTTTTGAGAGCCCTGTGTTGTCAGTAAATATTCCAAGCAGTGTAAACTAGGTTGCATTTCACTTGCTACGAGGAAAGATAGGGTTGAACACCTATCAATATGTTGAAATGGTATAAAATTTTATCTCCCTACCATAACCAAGCTAGACAACTAACATCTGGATTAGATAGGAAATTAGCAAAGTTGGGGCACTTGGGTGGTCAGTTAAGCATCCAATTTTGGCTCAGGTCATGATCTCACAGTTCGTGAGTTTGAGCCCTCGTTGGGCTCTGTGCCAATAGCTTGGAGCCTGGAGCATGGTTTGGATTCTGTGTCTCGCTCTCTGACCCTCTCCCACTTGCACTCTGTCTCTCTCTCTCTCTCTCTCTCTCAAAAATAGATAAACATTAAAAAAAATTGTAAACAAAAGAAATTGGCAAACTCTTAAATCATGAAAGTCTTATAAAAATTAATGGCATTAATGTTTTCAGTACATAGATATTTCATGTACTAAAATAAACATTTTTATTTATTTTTTGTACTAAAATAAATATGTTTATTTTTCAGGGCAAACTCTTTGATTCTACAATAGCTGATGAGGGAACATGGACTTTGGGTAAGGGTGATCTATAATTGTTGGAATCTTTTTAAAAATTAATCTTGTCTTCAAACTTAGTATGTTTCTTCTGTGGTATCAGGTTCTTTGTCTTTGCAGCTCTGGAAGATAGAGTGATAGAAATGTATTGTAAATAGTTACCTAATGGTTTTTGAAAATATACAATTTTATGATGAACTCTAATTTCTTTGTGTTTTTTGTTTAGAGGACAGAAAAATGGTCCGTATTGTTCTTACAAAGACAAAGAGAGATGCAGCAAATTGTTGGACTTCTCTTCTAGAATCTGAATATGCAGCTGATCCTTGGGTGCAAGACCAAATGCAGAGAAAACTTACATTAGAAAGATTCCAGAAAGAAGTAAGTCAGATGAGTGTATGAATATGTATTGTTAAGCATTTTAAGATCATAGAAAAATTATTTTTTGAAATTAAAACTCAAATTTGGTTACAGAAAAATCACAAAAGTTCTTTAAAGGAGTTTTTAAAATTAAATGGTTAGAAAAATTACTGGTCTTTTTTTGTGGATTTTAGTTTTTCAAAATTTCTGGGGAGGGTTTTGTTTGTACTGCCATAGTTTATAAGTTTAAATTTATTTAATGTACACCAGTAATGCATGAGTGAACTCATAAAAATTTAATTAGTATAGACTTACATAGTGTAAAAAAGTTATAGGTTCCTTTCATTAACATCTCTCCATTCCTTGCTTCTGTTTCATTTTTATATCATTGATATATTGGCTTGCTGCTTTGTTTGTAACATAAATGCAGGATCACACTATATGTATTGTTTGTTTTTTTTCTCCTTCTAAGTGCTTCAGAATGTTTTCTCATTTGACTGTATCATCGTTATTTATTTAGCTCTTCCCTTTTGCTAAGATTTGGATTTTTCGATTTGTATGTATTTCACAGTTTGTTCTTTCATCTTTTTGAAACTATTCCAGTGTTCCATTAATTTATCTAGGAGAAGAATTACTGGATCAAAGCACTCTTCAAATTTTGATGGATAATTTCTATGTATATAATGGTGATTTCCTAATTTGTATCTCCAGTCTAGACTTTTCTCCCAAGTATTGGACTCACGTTTCTAGTTGCATATTCAGCATCTCCACTTGTCGATCTGACCTATCAGACTCAACATACTCAACATGAACTTCCTAACTTCCTCCCACACTTGTTATACCTCTAGCCTTCTCATCTTGGTTGATAGAAACTGCTTGTTCAGAAATGGGAAATCATCCTCCATTCCTAGCTCTCTCTCACACGCTGTATCCAATTTGTTAGGAAACCTTACTGGCACTACCTTCCAAGTATATTCAGAATTTGTCCACTTGTCACCACCAACTTTCCAACCACTCTGATCTGGACCACCTGTAATGTCTTGCCTAGGTTACTCTAATAGCCTTCTAATGGTTTTCGTCTACCCTTACCAAGCTGCAGTGTTCTCAAAACAGCATAGCAGTCCTTTTAAAAATGCAAGTCAGAACACATCGCTTCTCTTCTCAGAACTCTTTCAGTCTAGTAAAAGACAAAGTTTTTTTTTCCAGGCCCTATCTTATATGGTCTTCCATGATCTCCCTGACTTCTTCTCCTGCAACTGTCTCCTGCTTCAGTCATTTTACCTTAGTCATATTGTATTACCTTAGCCTTTTTGTATTTTTGAATATTCCAGGCCATTCCTTTTCTGTCCTTTTGACTACAGTGTTCTCCCAAAGCTTGGCTGACTTCTTCATTGTTTTCAAGTCATTGCTCTGTAAAGCATATTTTGATCTTTGATCATCCTATTTAAATACTATAATCTCATTTCCCTTACTTTGCCCTTCCTTCCTTCCTTCCTTCCTTCCTTCCTTCCTTCCTTCCTTCCTTCCTTCCTGGCACTTGCACCAACTGCTAACGCTCTGGATCAGGGGCTGGCAAGCTATGGTCCATGGGTGAAATCTGGCCGACTCCCAGTTTTTGAAGTGAAGTTATACTGCAATACAGCTATGCTTGTTCTTTTGGTATTTTCTTTCATATAGTGATACCAGACTTAAGTAGTTATGGCAGAGACTATGCGGCCTTCATAGCCTAAAATATTTACTACTTGGCTCTTTACAGAAAAGTTGGCCAACCCCTC